GGGGGGGGGATATCGTTTTGTAGTGCACTTTGTGGTTGTCATGAGGATGGTGTTATATTTGGTCATGGTCACTCCTGAGCTCTACTTGCCTTGCCAATGTCCCGGCTCTTGACCTTCAGCTTGTTGACCTGGGACTCAGCAATGTCGGCGCGCTCTTCAGCCTCTTCCAGCTCGTGCTGAGTCTTCCTGAACCTAGACAGATGTACAGTGGCTTGTTCCTCCTACAAGGAAGGCGATACAATGTGAGAAGAAGTATGTCTAAGGAAACTGGAGACTTTCAAAGTCTAAGATTACCCCCCCTCCCCCCTGCCCCCCTACAGATGTGTACTTACAGATTCCTCAGACTGTCTCTTGTAGGCTTTGACCTTCATCTGCAGCTTGTCTACCAGGTCCTGAAGCCTGAACACGTTCTTCTTGTCCTCCTCAGACTGCAATATAGAGGAGTAATGTAAGAAACGGGCTGTAAGGTCCACATGGAATGTTTCATCTTTAGGAAAACCCATGACCTGTTATCTACCTGATAAGACAGTTCCTTGACCCTCCTCTCGTACTTGCGCACACCCTTGATGGCATCAGAGCCTCTCTTCTGTTCAGCATCAAGCTCATTTTCAAGTTCACGCACCTGAAAAAGAAATGATTTCACCGTGTTCTGGAGACCATGTAAACTAACTATTGTTTGGTGCAGACTATAAATATATCATAGACGGGTTACCCTGGATTCCAGCTTCTGGAGCTGCTTCTTTCCACCTTTCATAGCCAACTGCTCGGCCTCATCCAGACGATGTTGAAGGTCCTTCACAGTCTGTTCCAGGTTCTTCTTCATCCTCTCCAGGTGAGCGCTGGTGTCCTGTTCTTTCTTCAGCTCTTCAGCCATCATGGCAGCCTAAAGAATCAAAGAACATCTATATTACCAAAGATCTTGTACACCTCGGACGTACCAAAACATCTCCCGAAACATATTTTGGGAAAATGCTTTTGACTTATTGTTTTGAAAATGCAAAAGTCCGAACAGGAAGCTACAAGTGAGATTCATGTCTTTCATTACCATACTATTCACTACTTATGGGTCAGAATTGGGACTTACATCTGTGATTGCCTTCTTGGCTTTCTCATCTGCATTCCTGGCTTCTTGGATAGTTTCCTCCACTTCACTTTGGAGATGAGAAAGATCAGACTCCATCTTCTTCTTAGTGTTGATCAGGCTGGTGTTCTTTTGGAGATAGAGAACCATAAGGTGTCACTTTTTCTATGAAAGCTTTTTTTGGATTTTGTAAAGAATGAGCTCCAGACCTTACCTGTGTGTGTAGAAGTTGGACACGCTCAGTGACATCGAGCAGCTCTTGCTCGGCCACTTTGCGACCACGCTCTGTCTGATCAAGGGCAGACCTCATCTCTTCAATCTCTGCCTGCATTAGATTGTTTCTCCTTTCCACGATGGCCAACTGTTCCTTAAGGTCTTCGTTTCCTCTAATAGCATCATCAAGATGGAGCTGGGCATCCTAAGTTGAAGGAACACAGTGTTGCCAATTAGGGTATTTCTGTAAGGCCACAAAGAGGTTAAGAATGGAATTAAGTGTAATAATTGTATACCTTGAATTGTCCCTGGACATTCCTGAGCTGTTTCTGGGCCTCAGCTGCCTGGCGGTTGGCATGGCTCAGTTGGATCTCCATCTCATTGAGATCTCCCTCCATCTTCTTCTTTATTCTCATGGCATCATTCCTGCTTCTGATCTCAGCATCCAGGGAGCTCTGCATGGACTCCAGGGCCCTCTGGCTGTTTCTCTTGAGCTGTTCAATCTCTTCTTCTTTCTCAGCAACCTTTCTGTCAACCTCAGACTTTATTTGGTTCAACTCAAGTTGTACACGAAGGATCTTGGCCTCTTCATGTTCCAGAGATCCCTAAATGTTACAGGTTTATTAAATACGGAGATCTATGGAGGCACAATGCCAAAGGGTTTTAAAGTATAACAGTGTCCAGTCTGCCTACCTCAGCTTCTTCCAATGCTGATTGCAGATCAGATTTCTCCTGCTCAATCTGTTTCTTGGCCTTCTCAATCTCGTGGATGCTCTTTCCAGACTCGGCAACTTGTTCTGTCAGGTCTGAGATCTCCTCTACAATCATTAGGAAAAGAACATATTTTCTATTGTCAGTATTCAAGTAGCTTCAAGCTCTATGTTTGTTCCCTTAAAAAATATATATATATATATATAATTGTTAGTATAGATAATAAAACGAATGAAGTGCTGGTGGCCAAATCATAAAGTCAGCACCTTATATAATACCCGTGTCCTAAAATGGCAGATTTCTTTGCCTATCCCCTACACTAAATGTAAAGAGAGACATACGCTGGAGGTTCTTGTTTTCCCTCTTCAGTGTCTCAAGCTGATCGAGTGACTCCTCATAGGAGTTCTTGATTTTGAATACTTCTGTGCTGAGGGATCTGGATTCCTTTTGAGAAGCTTCAAGTTCAGCCTGGGCCTCCTCATATTTCTGCTTCCATTCAGACAGGACCTATGTTATGCAAGACAATCATTTTTATTTGATAGGCACCTTCATACTGCATCACTTAGATCAAAATCTTCATTTGTTTCCATTTTTTTCCCACACACCTTATCAAAGTTTCTTTGTTTCTTATCCAGAGCTGAGCATGCTGAGTTGGAACGTTCTACATCCACCATGAGATCCTCCACTTCACCTTGAAGTCTCTGTTTGGTCTTTTCCAGAGAGCCACATTTGGAGTTGACTGCCTCGATTTGTTCCTCAGCATCCTGGAGACGCTGGGCCAGCTTCTTCCTGTTATGGATTTAATTAAATGTTAGAATTGTTCGGAATACTTGGACATTAGAAACAAAAAATTGCTTATTTGTGGATGTCAGGATTTCACCATCACATTACTGAAAAAATAAATCATCTTCCACCGGTGGAAACAATGGCACCTACAACTCTAATACAATTCATGTTAGAGGCTCTCATCCAAAACACCATAATGCTCTTAATTTAAGACTTGACCGAATCTTACTTGGCCTCTTCCAGTTCCTCTGTGCGCTGAATGGCGTCTGTCTCGTATTTTGTCCTCCATTGAGAAACCTCGCTGTTGGCCTTGGACAGTGAACGCTGAAGCTCACCCTTGGCTTCCTGTTCCTCTTCATATTGCTCTCTGAGAAGGTCACAGTCATGGCGGGCAGACTGAAGTCCATGAGCAAGGGCGTTCTTGGCCTTGAAGGTAAGAGGCACGTTTCATAAATGTAAGACATTGAAGTACATAAATCATTATTCTTACAAGAGACGACATCCACCCTCCGTTGTGTACATTCAGACTCCACGCTCTTCTGCTTTTAAGTTTAGATTTACAACCCGCTTTCTGAATTTGGAAGTGCAGTGTTACTGGTAATAGTAATGAATTGTCCTAAAATATGTTTGGTCCTTCTAGAACTAAGGCGCTAGTCGCAAAGAAATCCATATGTCAGATGAAGAGTTAGAATTAACAGATTTGTGGCCCAGATAATAAATGAATAAGCATGGGTTTAGGACAAAATCTAACAAATATTTCTGTGTATGGCGGCAGTACCTTGGTTTCCTCCTCAAGCTGCCTCTTCAGCTCCTCAAGCTGTTGGGTGAAGGCTTGTTTTCCTCTGGAGAGCTGAGACACGAGAGATTCTTTTTCCTCCAGCTGGCGGCCGAATTCCCCTATTTCATAAGATTGAAGGTGTAGATAAGCATGTTGTGTGAATCTGTTATGTCTTCTCTTCCTTACTCTTAGCATTCACAACTTACCATTTTCTGTTTGAAGACGTGCTTTTTGAGCACTTATGTCATTGATTACTCTGAGATGCTCATCTTCCTTTGTTTTAACTTCACTGTATTGGTCCTCAAGTGTTCTGCACATCTTCTCTAAGTTGCCCTAGAAGATAAACCAAAGTCATTATTTCTAGCATTCAAGAATGTCTTGGTTGCCAAAAACAACCTAGGTGGTATTTTACTTACTTTGGTCTTAGAGACAGACTCCATGTTGCTGGCCAGGTCATCAATCTCCATCTTCAGCTCACTCTTTTCTTTCTCCAGCTTCTGTTTGACCCTCTGAAGGTTGTCTATTTGTTCCCCGAGTTCTGCAGCGCTGTCAGCGTGCTTCTTCCTGAGAGCTGCGGAAGTGGCTTCATGCTGCAAGGTGGCCTCCTCCAGGTCCCTTCTCATCTTCTGGTACTCTGCATCGCGTTTCTTGTTCATCTCAATCTGAGCAGAAGTCGCCCCTCCGGCTTCCTCCAGGCGCTCGCTGATCTCCTCGAGCTCCCGGGAAAGGTCTGCACGTTGTTTCTCAGCCTTGGCACGAGCTGTGCGCTCCGCCTCGATTTCTTCTTCCAGTTCCTCAATGCGGGCCTAAAGTTCACACAAATTGCCGTTTTCTTTTAAATAGTTGATAAGAAAAAAACATAAAGCTGTTTGTATCATGTTTGTTGGACAATCTACCTGAAGTTCTTTGATTTTCTTCTGCAGCTGGGCAGCCAAGGCCTGTTCATCTTCAATCTTGCTCTGGAGCTGGCTGATTTCAAACTCCTTCCTGTTAAGTGAAATATAGACTTATATGAAGCTTCAAGCCATGAGATGATGCACAAAACAGAACTACATCACACTCATACAAAACATGAACAGAGCAAGGCCACGGGACAAAGAGGAAGACCTGGCTACCTACAAGTTAGATAAAATTGTCTTACTTTTTAACTTTTTCATCCAGCTGTTGCCTTTCATTTTCCAGATCCATCAGGGATTCCTGAGACAACTTCAGATCACCCTCCAGCTTCCTCTTTGCTCTCTCCATGTCCATGCGGAGCTTCTTCTCTTGCTCCAGAGATCCCTCCAGCTGAAAGAAAAGCAAATTTGTTCAAATTCGTGACATTGTTAATGTATCTTTTAGGTACCATCTCTCAGGATATTTTTGTTTATACTTCTACGTACATCATCTACTTGCTGTTCCAGCTTGGTCTTGGCCTTGGTTAGAGTGTTGACCTTGTCCTCTTCTGCTTGCAGATCATCTAGGGTTTGTTGGTGGGCTTCCTGAAGGGCTTTCTTTTCTTTAGAAAGTTTGGCAATGTTCTCATCAAGAACAGCCATTTCTTCAGTGAGGTTCTTAACCTACATTTCAGATGATATTTAAGTATGATTACCCTCAAATACAACTTGCAAATAACATATTTGGGTAAGTGTCAGCTGTTGATATTGAGGAGAACCAAGCAGAAAATGGAAATACCTTGTTTTCTGTGGCATGCTTCTCTTTCTCTACTTTGGCCAGAGTCAGCTCAAGATCATCAATGTCCTTCTTCAGTTCAGAACATTCATCTTCAAGTTTCCTCTTTTTGGCTGTCAACTCAGCATTTGATTCTTCTTCATCTTCCAGCCTCTCATTAATCTCCTTGAATTTGGCCTCCATTTGAATCTTGGCTTTGATGAGACCCTCACACCTTTCCTCTGCATCTGCAAGGCCCTCACATTCCTGGGAAGTAAAATGAATTATAGGTATAACTTATTTATTCATAGTTTGTGTATTATGCGGGGTGTTTTTGGGTGTTTGCTCAAATATGGTTATTATAAACGGTTTAACACTTACAGATGCAACTTGGAGCTGCAGGTCATTTTTCTCTTGCATGACGGATACCATCTTCTCTTCAAGCGCCTTCCTCTTTGCCTCTGACTTGACCAGAGCCTCCTTTGTCTTCTCGAACTCTTCCTTCATGTTGGCCATTTCCTTCTCAGATTCTGCGCTCTTCAGGAGAGGCTTGATCTTGAAGTAAAGCTTCATCCATGGCCAATGCTTGACATTCATGAAGGAGCGGACATTGTACTGGATGCAGAAGATGGACTCCCTGGAAACAATGTATCACTCAGATCAAAGTTTTGCGGTTCTAAAATTAATAAAGTTAGGAACAATGAGCATAAAATTGCAAGTACCTTCTCTCCATCATCCTCTGGAACTCAACCCTCATGAGGTATCCTCTGCAAATGGCCTGAGTACGAGTGATCAGCATTGCCAACTTCTCATCTCGCATCTCCTCAAGGACACCCAGGAGACCAGCTTTGAAAAACACCTATAAATGAAGTCAAATCAAATTAAAATATATATCGTTTTTCTTAGACTTTTTGATGATCTCGTACTCAACAAACTGTGAAAATACCTTAGTGTGTCCAAATCTGTACTGTGTGTGGTCAACATCAATGGATCCGAGAAGCTTCTCAGAAGCCTTCTTGCTGTCAATAAACTGACCTTCTGGGATGGCGCTTGCATTCAGGATTTTGTAACTGTATTGCAAATAGTAACACTTTTGTAAATTGAGATATATAGAACATCCTTAATATTGTTTATTTTATTGTTATGGTATGTTAATGCCATAATTGCACTCAGTGATATGAGCGACCCATACCGTTGCTTGAAGTCAGAGTAGAGAATTCTGCTGGGGAAACCTTTCCTGCAAATCCTGATGCCCTCCAGTACACCGTTGCACCTGAGCTGGTGCATGACCAAGTAATGATCCATAGCACCTAAACAGAATAGTTTCAAATTGTTAAAGAGAATCTATGGAGACAAATTTGTAATTGTAATGCTTCTAAGGTATTGACAGGTTTAAAATTGCATGCTGGCGCATAACCAACTGATGATCTATAATATCTAAATATAAAAATCATGATTGCAACTGGAACAGCATTTCCATCAAACAAACAAATATTGATCAGCTGACCTGGGGTCTTGGTTTCATTGGGGATCAAGCAACGCACAAAGTGAGGGTGAGTGCTCCTCAAGTTTGACATCAGCTTGTTCAGATTCTCCTGTAGACAGACAATAATGATTGATATCAATAAATGTCCAACAGAAATGAGAAAACATACAGTATGTATATCTAATATAAAGTGTCACACACCCTGAAGAGACAAGACACAGTCTGGAAAGAGGAACCCTTCTTCTTAGCACCCTTCTTGCTACCGGCATCTGCAACAGGAAGAATTTCATGAGGTTAGGACACGTGTGGAAGGATGGACGTTGCAGGTGATATGGGTGTAGGCTCAGTTCCTGAATTGGAGAATAGTATCTCCCCACGCTGGCCTTTCATCTTATGCGGCCATTGCAAACACTAAGGTATAAGGTCAGTACTGTGAGCGCATGTCTGTAAGACTTTGATGACAGCATTGCAGCGGAAATTCTTTTAGATGTGGGGGAGGCTAATGTGAAAAGATTGATGTATTTTATAAAGTATTCATTTATAAAAACTTAATATACTGGAAGTGTACCAAGCAAATATTAATGGGCACTGATAGTAAAGAAGACAGAGTACAGAATACAGAATGTATTACCAGCATCAGTGGCAGAATAGGCACCATACAGGAAGCTCAAGAGTTTCACTGATGACTTCTGGTAGAGCCCAATGACGGTCTCATTCAGCGGGTCCTTGTTCTTGTCCAGCCAGCCAGAGATGTTGTAGTCCACAGTTCCAGCATAGTGGACCAGGGAGAAGTGAGCCTCGGCTTTGCCTTTGCCAGGTTTGGGTTTCTGGAAGTTGTTGGACTTGCCCAAATGTTGGTCATACAGCTTATTGGTGAAGGAAGTGTCTGTCGCCTTGGGGAACATGCACTCCTCTTCCAGGATGGAGAAGATGCCCATTGGCTAGGTACACAACAGTAAAAGTATATTACTTTTAGAATTAGTGCTCCAAAATGAAATTTTACTGCCAATTGTCATGTTTTATACCTTCTCAATAAGCTCAATGCAGGCGGCCAAGTCCATGCCGAAGTCAATGAACTCCCAGTCGATACCTTCCTTCTTGTACTCCTCTTGTTCCAGCACAAACATGTGGTGGTTGAAGAACTGTTGCAGCTTCTCATTGGTGAAGTTGATACAGAGCTGCTCCAAGCTGTTGTACTGTTCAGAAGAAGACAATTTACTGAGTTACCCTTTCCCAGCTAACACACTGGCAGGGAATAAATGTATCAATCAAGACATGCCACTCACATCAAAGATCTCAAAGCCGGCAATATCCAAGACGCCAATATAGTGCTGCCTTGGCTGCTTGGTGTCCAGCTGCTGGTTGATACGGATGACCATCCACAAGAACATCTTCTCATAGATGGACTTGCCCAGGGCACCGACATTGTTGTACACCTTAACAAGAAAGGTAACAAATGTTCCAATCAGTTACTACGCTTTCATTTGTGTCCTGAAGATAAAACATGGAGGCAGAATGTAGGTACCTGCTGGACAGTTTGACCTTTGGTGACATACTCATTTCCGACTTTGACCCTGGGGTAGCACAAAGCCTTCAGGAGATCAGCTGAGTTGAGGCCCATCAGGTAGGCAGTCTTGTCAGCCACTGAAGAATAGTAATCATTGTTTTCATTTATATAATTGATTGAATTTGAGATATTACATTTTTTTGGGACAATTCAAGGCAAACTACAGTGATAATGCTCAAAAGGCACGTCATCATAATTGGTTATAGCTCTCTGGCTTTTTAAAAACAAATTACATTTCTATATAAACCCAACTAAATACAGACAGCTGAAATGCCTTGAGTGTAAAGGTTTTTCTTTAGTTTAAGTGTGAAAAAAGAAATATAATAACCTTAATGCTGAGAAGGGCCTTAGTTCTCACCTTCTGTGCCATCGGGCTCAGCCTGCTCCTCTCTTTGCTTCTGCTTGAACTTCAGGTTTCCATAGTGCATGACGGCGCCGGTCAGCTTGTAGATACCAAGCTTCTCCTCTGAGTTGAAGCCCAGGATGTCAATGGCGCTCTGATATTACAAAAACATAGAATCAGCTCAATGTGATCTTCATGTAATAATAATTATTAGCAAAACAAAAAATGTATTTGTGCTAAATATTTTTTTTATCAGGTTTTGAACTTACATCGGTGGCCATCAGCTCCTCTTGATCATCAATGCTCGCCACAGTGATCTCACCTTGGCTCACAAATGGAAAGTCGTAGGGATTGGTTGTGATCAGAAGTTGGTCTGTGAACAACGATGAATGCGTGTTTCATGGTAAGATGTAACAATTAAAGGCACACTTCTACAGAACTCACACATTTTCCTATTTATGACCTACCGATCAGTTCCGGCTTCTTGTTGGACATGATCTGGTAGAAGATGTGGTAGCTCCTCTCAGCAGACAGCTGGAATGTTACTCTGGATTTTTCCAGTAGATCTAGATCAATCGATAATCAATATCCCCCATAAGGTAAGTTACTCATACATCACTACATTAACCATATACAGTATAGGATTGGTTCTGCAAGCCATTTGGCCTATGTTGTTTGATACAATGTTTCAGGATCAGTGGATACAAGTTTGAAAGGCTCGAATCAAGACACCTGCAACCAAAAGCAATTAAGAACCTCTCAAGGCGGAGCCAGTTCAGGTATAGGTGATACCGGCGGTGGGTGATGTGACCCCGTTATCCATGAATGCAGAGTATGTTGAAATCAAAGGGTACCAGAGTCAGTAAGAATTTTATGGGTTCAAAGGGTTTGAACTCATTTGTTCTTTTTTTGGGAGACTAAGGTGATATTGTGTATTTTTTATGCCTAATTATTTGTGGAAATAAACGGATATTTTTGGAATAATTGGTGCATTTGTGTCCTGGGTATCTCCACAATTGGAGGGTTTACGTTTTAAAAATATATTTTGACAAGGAGTTCTTTTTCTTTTCAGGACAAAAGCATATACAGTATATGAATATATATGAGATAAAAAGACACAAAACCAGCTCTACGCCCACCAAGCGCCCTCCTATTACATAATATTAATGAATACATTGTCTCTCCTACAAGACTTACATGTCTCAATGTCGGCGGAGGACAGTTTTCCTGTGGTCCCAAAGTGGATCCTGATGAATTTACCCTAGTCAAGGACAAGACATAGTCAACTGGCAAAATCGTTACTTTGACTTTAGAGGGTATGATAAATGGCTAATGTGTGCCAACCATGTCAAGGTTCAATTAGGACCAACTTACAAAGCGGGAAGAGTTGTCATTCCTCACAGTCTTGGCATTGCCAAAGGCCTCCAGCAGTGGGTTGGCCTGGATGATTTGATCCTCCAAGTTCCCCTGTACAGGTGTAAAACAAATTCATTTTTTTCTTGCTCATTCTATTTATTAGCATCATTTTGGATGCTCGGAAGACTTCAAGACCAAAAAGTAGCTGCGCACCTGAATTTTTCCTTGGGCTTGTGGCTCCTCTTTCTTCTTGTCGGGGACAGCTGCAATTGTTGCAAAGTACTGGATGACACGTTTCGTGTTGACAGTCTTTCCGGCACCGGATTCTCCGCTGGGGATAAAAGAAGGAAACAGAAAACCGTTATCTCTCGCACAACTCATGTCCCCAACGTAACTCCACATCTCTTTCTTGGAGTGACGTAGACACATTACTTACGTAATCAGAACAGACTGGTTGTCACGATCTGTCAGCATGAACTGATAGGCGTTGTCAGAGATGGAGAAGATGTGTGGTGGAGCCTCCTGACGCTTCTTGCCGCGGTAGGCATTGACCACCTCGGGGTTGTACACGGGCAGCCACTTGTAGGGGTTGACGGTGGCACAGAACAGTCCGGAGTAGGTCTACAAAGGACACAAAAAAAGCTCAAAGACACCAGAAGTCAATTGCAGAGTGTAATGGAGAGGAGTGAGCTGGCGGGGAGACTTACGTAGATCATCCAGGCTGCGTAACGCTCTTTGAGGTTATACAGGACAGATGGTTCATTCAAGTGGGTCATCATGGCCATGTCTTCAATCTTGTCGTACTTTGGGGGGTTCATGGGGAAAATTTCATCTTCCTTCACTGTTGCGGTCTACAGAAAAGCAAAGATCGAATTGTTTGTATTTCTTAAACACGCGCACGCACGCGTTGCAACTCAGAGGATCGTTAGCTTTTTCCAACTTACGGACATGTCTTCTTTCTTTACGGTGACTTTTCCCCCCTCTCTGCCGGTGACGATGCCTTTTACATACATTTGCTTGGGGTCAACCACAAAGAAGTTTGTTTTGGCATCGAAGGGCCGGTTCTGAGCCTCAAGCCTATCTTTATCTGACTTCCTGAGGTACTGGGCAGCCTCCCCAAAGACTGCCATCTCAGCATCACCCATGGCTGATGGTTTTCTGTATGAAGGAAATACAAGTTTCTGATTGTAACAGGAGCAATAAGTAGGTGTGATGGCAAAGTCATTAATGCCCCCCCCCCCTCTCTCTTTAATCAGCACCTTATAAGTAGGTGTGATGGCAAAATCATTAATG